ATAGAGGCTCTCTCACGCGCCCGCGGGGGGGTGTGCAAATCAAAATCCACCTGCGAGCACGAATGTCGTTCGGAAGTTGGCTGGCCTTGCGGGCTAAGTTATGCCAAACTTCGGTATCATTTTCCAACTGGTATAGTCACTTGGTTCGGCCGGAACCGAACCGAGAGCACCTACTCTCGTGCGGAGCAAGAGAGGTTGTGGTGCACCGAGAGCACAACTCTCGTGCATCTGTGACCACGAGAGTGGTGCACTCTCGGGTTGCACCACAGTGCGCACGAGAGATGTACTCTCGTGTTTCCTGGTCCGTGTGCTCTCGTGTGAACCTGCACCCCAACGGTCTGAAACCCGAAAGTTCAGCCTGTTGTACAGATTAAACTCATCTGTTACGGAATTAATACTGTTTTAATTCCAATTTTAATTCTGAGTTTAATCCTACTTAGTGGGTGGCTGTTACAGGTGTTACACAATTGGTTTTAATACCAATTTAATGGCCATGTTGAATGCTAGCACTCCAACATCCCTATATAAAGAGAGGTAGAGCAGTAGCATTTTTACAGTACAGAAACCGAGAGGAATTCCAGTAGCTTTCAGCTTCTCAAAACTCTGCTTCTACTCTCTTCTTTACCAACTAGTGTTCATTGCTTTGCTTTGTTTGCCGGGTTCCTTGTTTAGGTGCTTAAACAAGAAATCGTAGCACGTTTTATCCTAGGAAACCTAGGCTACAACGCTCCTAGCACTTGTGGGAGGTAGCAAATAAGGTTTTAAGGAAAAGAACTTTGTGTTCGAACTCGTGCTAAACCTATATCCAAACGCTCCACATTTTCCTTCCCAGTTTTTCTATTTTCCCATATAATATTAATCTTTTCGTAGGATTATTATTTTTGGGATCTTTCAACCATATTACCCAATACTTCTTTTGGCTCTTATATATATATATATATATATATATATATATATATATAGAGGGATGCACTCAGGTGCGAATAAGTGCTCAGGAGGGAAATGCGAACGAATCAGCGCGCGACACGTGTCCAGATCTAATAACTTAAAAAAAAACGCGGTGGCGTGGACTTAATAACTTAATACATTTTACTTGCACTTCAATGTTCAATTATTTACGAAAATGCCACCGCGTTTTTTTAAAAAATCAGTGTTTCTCATCCATTAGATCTGGACACGTGGACGAACAGAATTCATTCCTATTTCGTGCCTGGGCGAAGCATTCGCACCTGAGTGCGATTCTATATATATATATATATATATATATATATATATATATATATATATATATATCTTTTTTTGGGCATTACAAAAATAAAAAATAAATCAATTGACACTAAATAATATAACATAATAAAAAATAAAAGTTCTAATATAACAAATCTTGGGCCAATATATAATTACATTTTTTTTTAAATTTTCGGGCCAAACATATCCCATTGGTGCCGGCCATTTATCCAAAAATTTGGTGGCATTGGGTTTCGCTTTGTTATATATAAAAATAAACATAAAGATAAGATTATAATTATAATTTAAAGTGATTAAAATAATTAAAATATAGTTTATTAACTTTATATAGATTGGTGGGTTCTAAAAAAAATTGAAAAAAACTTAAGCTGTTGGGTAAATACAATAGTTATTGTGTGGACCGTGACCGACACAGTTGTGTAAATTATGATCCAAAAATGACGCTGTTTTATGTGATTTTTTTTACGCGATCCACTGCAATATACTTTTTAATAACACATCATGTACATTATTCTAACTCATAAAGTACATTATCTTATCAAAAAGTTTCATTATTCTAACACATAAAGTACATTATTCTAATACATAATGTACATTATTTCAACATATAAAATATATTATTCTTACTCATAAAACTCAACAACATTGTTTTAGACCATGGTCCACGCAGCTTTCACACAATAATTTGCCGGATAAATGGGTTTTTGGGACTGTGAGTTTTGGGGTCCACAAAAAAATATTTTTTTTAAAAAATCTCTACTATTCTGATTGCTATTAACCTTGCTTGTCTTTTCAAAATCCGTGAAGGCAACCCCTCAATAGAGATGTTCTAATTCAAATTTGCCATAGCCACTGCTCGTCCGTCGCTTATTCGCTAGACTCTCAAATTATTTTTTGGACTGCACTCATATTCATATACGTGATTCATATATAAACTGCCAATGCTAAATATCCATATATGGAGGAATAGTGTGATACTCGTGTTTCTTACTAATCATATGAAATTAAAAAAAAAAAAAAAAAAAAAAAAAAAAAAAAAAAAAAAACAAAAACAAAAACAAAAACAAAAACAAACAAACAACTTTCAAGTCAGTAAATAGCATAGAATGTCCGTATAGACTTAACCCACTGATTCAGTAGACATTATTTAGGGAAGAGATCAATGTTTGAAACTCAACAGTGAGTCTGTGAAGATTATGTTCAAAGTGGGAATATCTCTTGTGCGTACCGACATTTGACTTTATCTGCTAACACACTGATTTACCGTGATTTACATCTTTCAAAAAGCTCTATCAGAGCGATGTATATGAGATTCTAGGGTTGGAAACTCAACCTTTCAGACAAGTAAATAGCATAGGGAAAATTATAAATTGATAATTATAAATTTAATAATATTATTATTGATAATAAGAAAATTTAATTTAATTAATAATTATAAATTTAATAATAATATTAAATTTAAAATTTATTTAAATTAAATTAAAAATAAAAAAAAATAAAAAGAAGAATGTTAATAAAATTAAATTAAGAATTTAAATTTAAAAAAAAAAAAAACAAGAAATTGTTTGCAACGGCCATCATGTTTTTAAATTAAAACAAAAAAGAACATAAAGCTTCAATTCAGCTGGCGGCCACTTTCAATTGCCAAGCAGGTGCATGTATTATACGCGACCGCTGGGTGGACAATGAGAGACAATTGCGTGTTTTTGTTTTGTTTTGTTTTTTTAATTAAAATTCCCCCAAAAACTCCGCAAATTATGCTGTGGAAATGTGTTCATCATGCGCATGGTGAACACAGGGGTAGATCCATAATTTCAATATTGCAGATTCATAATTATTATTATTTTTTTGAAAAAGTAGATTCATATTTTTGTTTTTTCATTTGTTGTTACAGATATTATGAATCTACAGTATAGAAATTATGAATCTACAGTATATAAATTATGAATCTATAGTATATAAATTATGAATCTACAGTATAGATGTTATGAATCTACAGTATAGAAATTATGAATCTACATCTTAGAAATTATAGATCTATCCCGTTAACAACAAATGAAAAACAAAATTATGAATACGTTTTAAAAAAAAAATTTATGAATCTACAGTATAGAAATTATGGATCTACCCCTGTGTTCACCATGCGCATGGTGAACACGTTTCCACAGCATAACTATTGCAAAAACTCCATCCCACATCAACAAAAAACCATGTTTTTTTTTTTTTTTTTTTTTTTTTTTTTAGGTGTCAAATGTCCCTGTTTGGTAAAATAGTTAACTTATTAGCCAATTTTGACTTACCACTATTAATTGTTTGACTTGGTTAAAAAATCAATATAAGTATTTCGGTATTTAGCTTTTTATAACTCTAAAATGCTAAAATTCAAAAAGTTGTTCAAACTAATTTTTTCAATTAGCTTTTTGAGAAAAGAAATTATACCTAACAGCTACCCGCTAACAGTTAATTTAGAAAACAATTTTTCTATAATCAGCTAATATTGGCAACTAATTATACCCTCTGATGGATTTAATTAACTCGGGGTGGCCCGAATTATTAAAACCGGATAAGAACGTAATATGGGAAATATGTAAACGGGACAAAACGATGTCGTAAGGCTGTAGGGACCGTAGTTCATGAGGACTGTATATTATATCAAATGCCGTAAATAAACTATTACAATGGTTTCGCTAGTACAAAGTATGTAAGTAAGATAGAATGTGCCTTGTTAGGACAAGTAGGGGGGCTTTTATACAAGCTAAACCCCCCAACCGCCTCCCCCTAAAACGGGGGGTAGTTGGATCTCCAAGTTGACCGCGCCCGGTCTCGCGACCGGGGTCAGACCGAGCCCGTCTGCTCCGAGCCCCTCTTGAGGTCGGTCCGACCCCATATAGAGGTCGGTCCGACCTCAAGTCGACCTCGTGCAGAGGCCACGTGTCGAGGCCTCGCGCCGGAGCGAGTACACGACACCGCCCCGAGACCCGTTCTTGCTCCACGCTCTCGGGTCAATTCGGGTTGATTCCTAATATATCCATCACCCTCTAATTAACACATCAGCTAACATCTAACAGCTATGCATTAACCAAACTGCCAATATTAAAATCTAATTTCTCTATTTTATAGGACGTACTTCATTTGATACTTTTCTTTTCAGTTAAAAGATTTAGTTACACTATGGGTCAATTTGAATTTTTTTTTTTTAGTTCCTTTTTGTTAATTTCTGTTACCGCGAAATGTGGTCACGTTTACAACAATGTCGTATTTGATGAGCGTTGCAAAGTTGTCCTAGGTGGCTAGGTTGACATACTTCTTTAATTTTGTTGTCCTATGTGGACATACTTGTTTAATTTTGAATTGGGTGCATAAATACCGCAAATTATGCCGTGCAACATGGTGCACACGGTTACAAAAACAGCACCGTTTTGATTAAAAATGCGCGTTATTCTTAAAAAAAATCAGTTTCGATTGATGTTAACGTCGTTTTGTTGTGCATAATTTAAATTATATATCTAGAATTAATGAACTATATATCTAGAATGAATGAAATATATATCTAGAATGAATAAACTATATATCCAAAATGAATAAACTATATAGTTCAAATTATGCACAACATAACGTCGTTAACGATAATAGAAACTGAATTTTTTTAAAAAAAGTTAGACATCAAAACGACATCGTTTTTGCGCACCATGATTGCAAAGCATAAAGCTCCCATAAATACTCGAGCATATTTGAATCATTCACCGTTCATTATGGAGAATATTTCTTATTGGGTTCTTCACACCCTGCCATGGCTTCTCGCCTTAGCATTTCTCTTCAAAATAAACACTTTTTATCAACGGCGAAAAGCTAAAACTCCACCAGGTCCACGGCCATGGCCAATTATTGGCAATCTGAATCTCCTTGGCTCCCTCCCACACCATTCCTTACACTTACTGTCCCAAAAATATGGAGAATTGATGCTCCTAAAATTTGGGTCCAAACCGGTTTTAGTTGCCTCGTCTCCTGAAACGGCTAAACTTTTCTTGAAAACCCACGACGCCGTGTTCGCCTCCCGGCCGCCCACGGCGGCCGGAGAGCACACTTTTAACCGGGCCGACCTCACTTGGTCGCCTTATGGATCGCCCTGGCGCCACGGCCGCAAGATTCTCCTTTCCGAGGTTTTCACCCCGAATAAGCTTGATTCCTTTGAGTATGTTCGTGTTGAGGAAAGGATGGTTCTAATGTCTGGCCTTTACGATGATGCTGCCGGGGCTAAGAAGCCGGTGTTGCTAAGAGACCATTTGTTGAGGTTCACCCTGTCTACCATGACTAGGTTAGTTTCAGGTCACAAGTACTACAGAAAAGAGAATGCGGGTTACAGAATTACGTTAGAGGGATTGCAAGGGATTCTTGATGAATGGTTTGTGCTTAGTGGTGTGGTGAATCTTGGTGATTGGGTTCCTTGGTTGAGCGGCTTTGATTTGCAAGGATATGTGAAGAAGATGAAGGCTTTAAGGGAGGAGTACGAGGAGTTCCTAAACCATGTGATTGAGGACCATAGAGCTGTGATGAAAGGTGATGATGAGAAGAATTTCGTCCCCAAGGACATGGTGGATATCTTTTTGCAGATAGCTGATGATCCAAATGTTGAACTCAATCGCGATCGCATAATGGGGTTAATCCATGTAAGCTTTTTGTTTCAATTTCTTCCTTATCATACATATACCGTTTGATCCTACTATTCTGACATGATATTTTTTGTTCTCCATCAACAAAAACATTTAAATGGCCTTAGATACAAGTGTATTTTGGTCTATTCAATTCTAATTAGCTAATTTTAAGTCATTTTCCTTCTTTTTTTTTTTTTGGTCCGAGATTTATGTGGTATTTCACTTTTAGTCTTTTTTTTTTGTTTTTTTTTTCTCAAAATATCCATGTTGGTCCTAACATTAGTTTTATTAACTACTCAAAACCCTCTTTTTTTTTTTTTTTTTTCTTCTTGATAATAAAAGTACAAGTCTTGTGGATTTTGATAAAGTAGAATTATGCATTAGACTTAATGTTTGCCATGGATAGAGTAGACTTGTAATTTTTTCAATTGTACTTTTTTTAAAAAAATTTTTACAATAGACTTATGTATTGATAACGATTTTATTAACAAAAACAAAATAAAAGGATTTTGAGTGGTTAATAAAGTCATTTTAATGTCGTTTAAACATATTGGTTGACGTACGAATGACCAAAATGGGTCATTTCATAATAATGTTAGGACAAACCGGGATGACACAAATCTAGAACCCAAAAAATAATAATAATAATAATAATAATAATCCGGTAATAACTTAACACTTAAAACTGAATAGACCAAAATGTCCTCGTATTTAACATCATTTAAACAGTTTTGTTGACAGAATTAAATAGTCATGCTATAATAATATTATGACCAAAGAGAATGTTTTGAAAAAAAAAAAAAAAAAAAAGACTAAAAGTAGAATAATACCTATAAATCTAAAATAAAAACGAAATTAACTATATTCCTAAATATTCAGTTTTTTTGATCGTCTACTTTCCTTCTTGACTCTAATAGAATATGCTGGCGGGTGGCACAGATACAGCAGCAGCATCAGTGGAATGGGCATTTCAAGAATTGCTTAGAAAGCCATGGATTATTGCAAAGGCAACCGAGGAGTTGGATAGAGTGATTGGGAGGGAGAGATGGGTAGAAGAGAGAGACTTTTCGCAACTACCATATATGGAAGCAATCATCAAAGAAACATTTAGGTTGCATCCACTTTGCACATTGCTCCCACCCCATTATTCCATGGAAGATTGCAATGTGGCTGGGTACGAGGTACCAAGTGGAACAACTGTTCTAGTTAACGTATGGTCTATAGGCAGGAATCCTAAGTACTGGGACAAGGCTGATGAGTTTTTTCCCGAAAGATTTTTAGAGAAAGACGTTGATATAAATGGACAAGATTTTGCACTTTTACCATTTGGATCGAGTAGGAGAAGATGTCCCGGGTATAGTCTTGGAATGAAGGTTGTTCGAACAACATTAGCCAATCTATTACATGGATTTAATTGGAAATTAGCGGAAGACATGAGGCCAGGGGATATATCCATGGAAGAGGTTTATGGCTTGACCACTCATCCAAAATTTCCTTTGTCTTTCAACATTGAGCCTAGACTTCCCACCCATCTTTACTAGGATGTTTTGATTTCTTACTCTTTTATGAAGACTATCAAATTACGTTTTAATGGAAATTCTATCCTATTTTAATAAAAAAAAAATAAAAGCACTTCAATAAGTGCAAATATTAACTAATATATACAAAGTATTATGTTGAAAAACATAATTAGTGTCCTAGAAGAGGTAGTCGAGTGGATGATTTTGGTACTTGAAGATTTTAAAGTTCAATTCTTGCTAATACTTTCTTGGTTGGGTCTGCTGTTGCACAATGTCTTCGTAGTATTATTTACATGTTTTGTATGATTTGTGAGATATTATACATGAATGATGTTTACCTACTGGACAAGTTTCAATTCCTTGTCAGCAAAAGGAAAAAAAAAATGGTAGGATTTAAAATGTAACTTGGTACTAGACAAGAATAGTCATTTTCAAATTGTAAATCTAGCTTTGAATCCATCCCCGTAATACCTATTAGGACTCTATGTATCTGAGTCTGTTTAGAACTTCTTATCCTTATCACACTGTGACTCTCTATTGTATATATTCACCTCTGATATCATTGTAATTATGTTTAGAAAATACAATACTATTAGTTCTCATCTGGTATCACTTAGCTAGGATTTTGTGATTCATAAAATCAAAATCAAGATCCGGCGAGTGTCACGTCTTTGCTGACCTTCAAGACACATACTATCATTTAGCAGTAGCTTAATCTTTGTTTTGTGGTCCACCAAAGTTGGTATTATGCTTTGCTTTGTTTTTGAAATCAAAGCTGGGGAGTTGTGATTTCGTAACTTCAAAAAAACAAAAAAACAAAAAAAAAAAATGCAGCGCTGCGGTGGCAACCTTAATTATCGTGGAGGTCAGCAACGTGGCTTTGATGATCCGTGTCAAATTTGTAAAGGTTTCGGCCACACAGGAGTCAATTTTTTTTTGCGCTGATCCGTGTCAAATTTGTAAACGTTTTGGTTACACGGGAGTCAATTGTTTTTGGCGCTATGATGATCCGTGTCAAATTTGTAAACGTTTTGGTCACATGCACGGGAGCCAATTGTTTTTGGCGCTATAATGATCCGTGTCAAATTTGTAAAAGTTTTGGTCACACGGGAGTCAACTGTTTTCGGCGTTATTCAGGGGCTCCAGGTTCTCAGGCTAATTTGGTGTTTCAGAATGGTTTAGGTGCTAAAACCTCGTCAAATTCTCATACTTGGGTTCCAGACACTAGAGCCACAAATCATGCAACTCCAAACATCGCTGCCCTTTCTACATCGGAGAAGTACACTGGTAATGGCACTTTACGTGTCGGTGACAGTATGGGTTTATCTATTAGTCATGTTGGCCATGCCTCTTTTAACACCCTTTCTAGATCATTTACATTGTCTGATATACTTCACGTTCCACGTTTGTCTAATTCTTTATTATCTGTTCAGAAGTTTGCAACTTGAGAATTTCATTCATCTTCTTGTATCCCATAAGATTAAATCTTGAACCTTATTGCTCATATAGAGGGAGATCTAAAGCTTATAGGAAAGTGATTACACGCCTGAAGATATCAAATGATCCAGTTTTTGTTCCCTGTTGTATTCTATATTTTTGTTGTATCTCAAATGTATTATAGATTACAAGCCCTTTTTCCAACAATCTATAAGTTGCAACCGCACACCCACTCTAGGGAAGTACACATGTTGGGGAATTTTGAATACAAACCCCTTTTTCCAACAAATTTTATGCATGAAATATATATTAATCGGGGCCCATTTTGTTATCCTGCCCCGAGCCTATAAAATGATAGGACCGGCCTTGTCTAGACTTATTCTTCACATCCAGGATTACCATTATTCATTTGGTAGGACTTATCAAATTTCAGTTGAGCCTATGAATATTAGTATATTACCCCAATAATAAAATTTCAATAGTGCCACATTAACTAAACACAATGCTCCGTAACTAGGAATAAAAATAGGCCAGGTCCATGCGTAAGGAGCCAAGGGCTTATGCCCTGACCTAGTTTGGACCTAGTCAAGCTTGGATTTTTCAGTAAAAAGATTAGGTTTAGGCCTATTTTAAAGGCTATTTAGCTAAATACATCTAGATCTATATGTACCAGGCCTAGCGTTCAAGCCTACGTGTCTAGCCTATTTAACTATATATATTTAATATTAAATATATATATATATATATATATATATATATATATATATATATATATATATATATATATTACAAATATATTTTTATATTTATAATATAACCCCAAGTATATATGTGATTGAATTTACCCCAAAATTTTCAATTCTATTTCGTTTATCACTTCCAGTCTTCCGATCTTCCTGCTAATTGTGAATCTGTGGTGATATACTTATTTTATTCATGTATTATTTTGTATTACTAGGTATATCTTTAATTTTTTTTTTTTTTTACACATCTATAGGTTTTAAAAAGGCTAACAAGTAGGTCTTAAATAGGCGCATAATTAAGACTTACTTTGAATCCTTTTTAATGGTATATATATATATATATATATATATATATATATATATACTAAATATACATTATTTATATATTAAATGTACATTATTTGATAGCATAATTCACAGAACTGTATGAACCAGGATCATCACTTTCATCCCTATCCCGGACCCTTTCATCCCTATCCCGGACCCTAATTGTATAATAATTCTGTAGCGAAATTTTAAAACACGTGCGGCGCTATTGCATGAAATTAAATAAAGAGTTGTGTCGTAAAAGAATAGAGTAGAATTAAATAAAGAGTTGTGTCGTAAAAGAAATAGAGTAGTATATCATACTATTAAAAAATTGCTATTTATTTCACCTTTAGTTTCATTGTATCGTATGGGGCAATTCAGTGGTTTTATTACATAGCACATGCAAAACATTTGATAACACACACACACACACTATATATATATATATATATATATATATATATATATATGGTAATAGCCAATAGGCTTTGGGTAAAAAAATAGATTTAATCTCAGCCCTTATCTAATAAAAATCAACATCGCAAATTGAAGAAAACTTTTAAAAAAATGTTGTGATAATTTGATCATTTTCCGTATTGTTAAAAGTTAAGGTGCATAATTTTTGTGTTTAAGGTGCATCGTTTTAATACTTAAGGTGCATGATTTCTATGCTTAAGGTACATCAGTCTAAAATTTTAGGTGCATCTTTTCATAGCTTAAGATGTGTCTTTTTTATACTTAAGGTGCGTGATTTTTGTGCTTAAGGTGCGTCAGTTTTTCAGTTGAGAACTTATGGTGCGTTTTTTTGTTAAACCATAAGGTGCGTCTTTCCATAGCTTAAGGTGCGTCTTTGTAACACTTAAGGTATGCCATGTTTAACACTAAAGCTGTGCCAATTTAACAGTTAAAATGTGTCATTTTAACACTTAAGATGTGTCTTTGTAACACTTAAGGTGCACCATTTTTACACTTTGCGTCTTTCAACTTCGACGCGCTTTTTTTTTTTTTTTAATTTTTTTTATTCATTTGAGCCGTTGATCTAAAGTTGATCATCGTCTCTGATCTCACCTCATCTTTCACCTGGGAGCCTTCCGTACTTAAACTGATCCTTATACACACACACACACACACACACATGCACGCACACACACATACACACACACACACACACACACACACACACACACACACACACACACACATGGGGTGCATTGCTATGAGAACTCATGCTCAGGGGAGAACTAAAAACTAATCGGAACCGTCAATATGAAAAGATCAACAAATCATAAGTATTTTTTTAAAAATGTGGTGATATTTTTATAAATAAATCAAATTTTGAAGTGCAAGTGTCAGGTGTAAGTGTACAAATAAATGGTGTAAGTAAAATCACATAATATTATAGAGTGCAAGCAATTTACATTTCACATTGATGCAACTTAATATTCTTGCTTGGATGAAAGTTTTGAATTATTTATAAAAATGTTATCCAATTTTTCCTTTCATCCCTCTTTTTTTTTTTTTTTTTTTTTTTAAGTGATTAGATCTTCACAAATCGAAGACTCTAATTGGTCTTTAATTTTATTCTACAAGTAATTAAATTTCTATTTGATCCAAATCCTATATCTATCACATAAACCAGTTGTAGTATAATATCGTACATCGGCATATGTATTTTGCATCCAATTGGACAGTGAGTCATTAATCTTAAAAGAAGAAGCACGAGAGAGTCGGGGCGGCTAAGAGATTTTATTTGTTACTTTTTTAAAAGAATTAATTTCACTTTTCATCCCATAACTTTTGAGATCTTATCAGTTTTAGTATATAACTTTAAATATTTTCAGTTTGGTGCTTAATTTTGTTATATTTATCAATTTTGGTCTTTTCGACCAAATTGACAGTCAAATATTGTCGAATTTTATATTTTTAGGTCCAAAATTGTAATCCCAATGAAAGATCTTCAATATCTAAACAAAAAAAATCATATTAATAGAAAAACAGAATTTGCCCATCATCGATCAAACACCCATAGATCTTATTTAACAATGATTTTATTTATATATTGAAAATCTTTCCTTGGGATGATGATTTTACGCCTAAAAATATAAAATTCGTTAATATTTTGTCGTCAATTTGGTCGTAAAGACTAAAACTAATAAAAATAACAAAGTTAAGGCACTGAAATTGAAAAATTTTAAAGTTGCACACCAAAAATGAATAAGTGATGATAGAACCTCAAAAGTTGTGGGACCAAAAGTTAAATTAATTCTTTTTTAAACACCAAATTAAAATAGTGAAGTTCGAACACAAGGGTGAAAAAGATGTTACATTTGTTTTAAGATGTTTTTTTGTGTATAAATACACGGACCCTCCTTGGCATTAGACACAGCTAAATTAATATTTGATCCATACACATTGATGATGGAAACATTTTCTTTGCTGTTTGCCTTGCCATGGCTTCTCATCGCCATAGCATTTCTCTTCAAACTAAGCACTATCCACCAACGTCGAAAACCAAAAACTCCGCCAGGTCCACGGCCGTGGCCTATTATTGGCAACTTGAACCTCCTTGGCTCCACCCCCCACCAATCTTTACACTCACTGTCCCAAAAATATGGAGAATTAATGCTCTTGAAATTTGGGTCCAAGCCGGTTTTAGTTGCCTCATCTCCACAAACGGCTAAACTTTTCTTGAAAACCCACGATGCCGTTTTCGCCTCTCGTCCCCCCACTGCCGCTGCCGAGTACACCTTTAACCGGTCCGACGTGGTTTGGGCCCCTCATGGACCGTTCTGGCGCCATGCCCGCAAGATTCTTCTTTGCGAGGTTTTCAGCCTGAAAAAGCTTGACTCGTTCGAGCACGTTCGTGTTGAGGAAAGGATGGCTTTCATTTCCGGCCTTTACAGATGTAAGAAGCCGGTGTTGCTAAGAGACCATTTAGTGAGGTTCACCCTGTCTACTATTACTAGGCTTGTTACGGGTCACAAGTACTATAGCAACATGAATGGCCATTCGATACCGTTTAAGAAATTGCAAGAATTTCTTGATGATTGGTTTTTGCTTGGTGGTGTGATCAACCTTGGAGATTGGGTTCCTTGGTTGAGCGGCTTTGACTTGCAGGGATATGTGAAAAAGATGAAAGCTTTCAGAGATGAGTATGCCAAGTTCTTGAACTATGTGATTGAAGACCACAGGGCCATGATGAAAGCTGCTGGCAAGAGCTTTGTCCCAAAGGACATTGTGGATGTCTTTTTGCAGATTGCTGATGATACAAATGTTGATGCCGAGGATGCACTCACTCCCGATCGCCTCATGGGGTTGATACATGTACGTGGTTCTCATTTATTTGTTTGAATTTCCTTGTTATCATAACTATATATATAGCATTATATTCGTATATCACAAATACTGATGATGTGGGCAACTCCAGTTAAGTTGGTTAGATGGTTAGCATGATAACACAAGTTTCAATGACAAATTATACGGTCCATACAGTTGTGCGAACCACGGTCTAAAATAACGTCTTTGAATTTTATGAGTTAGAATAATGTATATTATAAGTTAGAATAATGTACTTTATGTGTTAAAATAATGAAATTTCTGGAGTAAGATAATATAATTTGAGTTTGAATAATGTCATTATGCTTTAGAATAATATACATTATGAGTTATAAAAATGTATCTTGCAGTGGGTCGCCTGAAAAAAATTACGCAAAACGATATCGTTTTGGACCTGGTCCATACAGCTATGTGGACCACGGTCCACCCAATAACTATTGAGTTACAATAGTTTGAGTTTTTTTGTTATGGACAACCTAGGCTATATTACCCCCTTTGATATATAGTTATGGTCACAACTCATAAGGTAGGATTTATTCTCTGATATGCACATCTTTAGGTAATGGCTGCATCATATATTACACCTTTGGGTAATGGTTTTTGGTGATGATGTGAGAATCTCAAGTTTGAAACATAAAAAATAGGCTTAGTGTTACAATAAAAATATTAATATTATTAAAAATTTTGGCTCAAAAATAAAAATTAATTGATTTCTAATTGATTTTCTTGACTGCATACTAGGATATGCTGGCGGGTGGCACAGATACAACAGCAACAACAGTGGAATGGGCATTCCAAGAGTTGTTTAGAAAACCATGGATCATCGACAAGGCAAAGGAGGAATTGGACAGAGTGATTGGGAGGGAGAGATGGGTAGAAGAGAAGGACTTTTCGCAACTGCCATACATCGAGGCAATCCTCAAGGAAACACTAAGGTTGCATCCAGTTGCCACATTACTTTCACCCCATTATTCTATGGAGGATTGCAATGTGGGAGGTTATGAGGTGCCAAAAGGGACAGTGGTTTTTATTAATGTATGGTCTATTGGAAGGGATTCTAAGTATTGGAACATGGCGAATGAGTTTCTCCCTGAACGATTTTTAGAGAGAGATATTGATATAACAGGACAGGATTTTGGAGTGTTACCATTCGGGTCAGGTAGAAGAAAATGTCCGGGCTATAATCTTGGGCTGAAGGTTATTCGTACAACATTGGCGAATTTATTACACGGATTTAATTGGAAATTAGCTGGAGATATGAGGCCAGAGGATATATCCTTGGAAGAGATTTATGGCTTGACCACTCATCCAAAATCCCCATTGTCATTCATCATTGAACCTAAGCTTCCTGCCCATCTTTACTAGGCTTTATTGATATATATCTCTTAGATTACATGTAAGTTATTGAATATTGTATAAATAATGTGTGTGTGTGTATATATATATATATATATATATATATATATATATATATATATATATATATAGACACACACACGCACACACAAAAGTCCATAATCAGGTGTCAACTCACCTTAACGTGCGAACCTGCGAACTTCTGAAAGATTGCACCATACTTACTATATGATTGCACCGCATCCGGATACGTTTGTACCACAAGGTCCTCCAAACATGTCTAGAAGTTGTAGTAGTGCAATCATGTAGTAGATGCGGTACAATCATTTAGAAGTTCGCAGGTTAAGATTGGTTCTCAGCTGATTATGATTCTATTGTCCTACAACATAAATAAAGTAAAAGTGTTGTCAAACACTTATTGTCACCTTTACTTTAATTTGTATAAATATGTTGTATTATATGGTATTTTATGATGAATAATAATGCTATTTTACCTTCTTAATTTTATGTCCTATTTAATTTTCTAATGTAGCTTGGACAAGCATGACAACTTGTAATTAATTTCTCTTGGAAACAAAGTAAGTGCACCGCGTACAGAAGGCAATAAATAATGGAGAGTTAATTGGATGGATTGAAAACAGACTTTTGAAAGCAAATTAAACATGTGAACAAAACGTTTGTCTTTTGTGAATGTTATGGTCTATATTGATTTTGGTTGCTGTAGAAAAAAAAGACTTACTCAAGAGATTGGCTTTGTTTTGTTTAAGCTGTAATTGTCTATGTTATCTGCATATCAGTTTTGGAACAACTTTGGTGACAAAAGTTGGTCATTAGATTATCTCTGATCTGTATTACTCAAGCTAAATTGTCTCAGATTTGTAGCTAGCCATTAGATTATTGATCTTTGTTTTGAATCGAAATTGTTTAAGATTTTATGCTTGCTTCTCTCCGTGTAATGTAGTGGTTCAAATTGCACAAGTGTTTATGGTATTGACATTTGTTGGTTCCGGACGGAGGATTGAATAGACTGTTTAAACCTTTTTGAAACCCAAAATACTTTGGTTGGAAGGAATGAATTAGGGGAAAGAGAAATTGTAATTTGGTGAGAAAAGAATAATGTTAGAATAAAATAGAAATTCAAATTACATTGTTTGGTAGGGAGAAATAAAATTATTAGGAATGAGAATGGAAAAAGTAGCATAAAGACTAAAATGTCATTGTGTAATAATAATAATACTAACAATGGGGTGTTTGGTAGGATGGAATTGTAATTCCATTCCTACTAAACTCCATTAAATTACAATTCATGGTTTGGTGGGAGGGAATTGTAATTCCTAGGGTCCCCCTACTCCCCTAGGAATTGCAATTCCACACTTTATGGAATTATAATTCCACAATAATGACTATTTTATCCTTCTTCTTATTATTGTATTATTATTATATAAGGATATTTTAGTTTTTATTCACTTCTCCCCTTTCAATTCCCCATCATTATATTCATGTCTACCCAACAATATAATTTAAATTCCACTTTATTATTTTTCCCACCAAATTACAATTCTTTTTCTCCCTAATTAATCCTCCCAACCAAACGCCCTGTAATAATCAAGGGTAAAAAAAAATATTTTTCTTCCATTTTCCCATTCCTTTCCCCGTTGAATTTGCAATTCATATGGGGAGGGTATGAATTGTAATTCATCAAAATGAGAGAATTGCAACTTGGTGGAATTGCAATTCCCTCCAACCAAACACTGTAATTTTGGTGGCCAAAGAATTATGCTATAACTGAATTGCAACTACATCTAACCAAACATCCCATCAAGAGTTTTTGCAATGGAAGGGTTATGCTTGCGTAAATTTGACTTGCAGCGTTTGCAAAAATAAATTAAAGAAAATAGTGCATGTGTACTTGAGTTCAAGTAAGCAATAAATAAAGAGTTACGAATAGGCCAATGACCTTGTGGTTGTGGTCTAGTGGCATGAATTGGCTCTCCCAAATAAGAGGTCATAGCCCAAAGGCTTGAGTCCCAGTGGGGGCGATATTGACTCTTTGTAAGAAATTGAAACAATATTTTTATAGTGATTTGAGAACTTTCTATTCCACTCTCCTCCTTAACATAATAGGGATTCACTAGTATAATACGAATACAAGTGAAAATTTCGCCTTAATTTTACACTAGTTGCAAACGAAACTAAGTTACTTGCTAAAACACCCTTTAATTTTGACAGTCATTCAAATGACTTTCTTCACTTAATTAGATGCACATTATTCACTGCCTAATCTTTAATTTCAAGGGTCATCCACCAAGTCGCCTTGATAAAAGATTTCCAACCTTAGCAACGATGGATGGTGTTCATCGTTTGAATACTAATGGACATAATATAAATGGTTCTTAATGCTTTGAGAGTTTAGAATAACTCGTAAAAATATCTCAACAATTTCATATTAGTCAACTTCTCATCGCTTTAGGAGGGGCTCAAATTATAGGGTTGGGGAGTCAAAATTTAAACATCTTGAATTTTTCCCATTGATGGCCACTAAGACGGTAAGAGTCCAAAAGTAGTGATAATTGGAGTATTTTTACATGGTGAAATTTGTGTGAGAGGGTATCCTCACACTGGATATCATTCTCGAAGGACTAGCGATATGAGTTTGTCTCTCAAACACAAGGTATTAACTCTTCAATTGGAAATCTAGATCAAAGCAAAGGTTTGAATATAATAGTGCAATAATAAAAACAACTAACAAAGGAATAATATAACAATAAAAAAGAAAACGAAGGGGAATAGGAACTTGGATTTGAACAAGGAAACACAATTGAATCGAAAACAAGAGAAAGAATCAATTTATAATCGAAAAAGAGATTGGTGATAATGTGGTTGACATAAGTTATGGTGCAATTGTTGGTGAGGACTATACTAATCAAGCCAATCAAGAAGAAATTCAAAATTTTACTGAGAAGGAGGTAGATCCTGCACCAAATACTATGGGGGAACATATCACGGTCCGCATGGATTCAGCCCAAATTGAAGCACCAATCAAAGATAAAGTAGCAACTATAATTGTGCATATTAAGTCTCCCCAATTATATTGTTTCAAGAATTAATTTTCACATCAATAGTGTCTTTGGAGGAAAACTTCATCCACTTTGCAGTAGAAATGATTCCCAAATTGGTCCAAATCATGACACCAACAAGGAATTCTGTTACAAGGCAGTCCAGTGAACATGTTGTCTATGATGTCCACGTTTGGCAAATCAATCAAGCAGTATTATCAAAGCATGAATATGCTCATTTCTATACCTACACCTTGAGGACAAGGTGATTTTTGAAGGGGTGGAAAGTGATACACCCATAAATGTAATTATGTAAGTTTCTAGAATTAGTATGATAATTAGGATGATATAACTTAATTACTGGGGGAGTTAATATTGTGCCTAAACATAAGGAAATTATGTATATCATTACCTTGTATAATTAGTATAATTTTGGTAGGTTAATTATTATAGGTATCAATATATTAATATAAATAGGTTATTGTATATGAAGATGAGGAAGCAGAGAAATATATTGTGATTCTAGTCTTATTGTTATTCTTCTTGGAGCTCTCACACGTTCGAAGTGTGAAATTGGAGTTTTCTGTGACTCGAATACGGATTAGAACTAGAAGTGTGCTCAAAAGGTTTTTTCTGTTGTGTACTAAATTTCCGTACGTAACATCCGACATTTGTCAGTTGTACTGCTATCAGAAGATCTTGGATCTGCTACTTTGAGAAGATCAGATAAACTGTACCCTAACTAAGATAGCACTTAAGGTGTGTTTGGAAACCTGGAAAATGAGTTCTGGAAATCATTTTCCAAGTTTCCAGTGTTTGGATGTGCTTGGAAAATCAAGTCAACGGAAATCATTTTCCGTTGACTTTGGAAAATATGCTTGTTTTGGAGGAAAATGACTTCCCCTTTTTTTGGGGGAAGTCATTTTCCAACTTTTACACCAACATCACACCACCACCAACATCATCAACACCATACCACCACCACCACCACTATTGCCGCCGCCACCACCACTATACCCCCGCCACCATCACACCACCACCGCAACCACTACCACCACCACCACCATACCACCACCAACACCGCAACCACTACCGCCACCACCACCATACCACCGCCACCATCGCCGCCGCCACCACCACCTTCACACCACCGCCGCCGCCACCGCCACCACCACCACCATACCACCGTCGCCGCCACCACCACCACCACCACCATACCACTACAACCACCGTCGCCGCTACCACCGCCACCACCACCATACCACTACAACCACCGTCGCCGCTACCACCGCCACCACCACCATACCACCACAACCATACCACCGCCACCACCATCACACCGCCGCCGCCGCCGCCACGACCATACCACCGCAACCACCACCGTCGCCACCACCACCATACCACCGCCACCACACCACCACCGTCATACCACCACCAATTATTATTATTATTATTATTGTTGTTGTTGTTGTTGTTGTTATTATTATTATTATTATTATTATTATTATTATTATTATTATTATTATTATTATTATTATTATTATATAACGAATAACACCACTACCACTACACCACCACCACCACCATAATATTTTTGATATATTATTAGTTTTTTTTTTTTTTTTGAAAAACTTAACTATTTTTTATTATATTTAAAATTAATATTATATTATTATATATTATTATACATGTTGTAATATTCTAAATAAAATAATTAAAATGTTTAATTATACAATTCTACTCATTTTCCAGAAAATGAACCAAACACAGAAAAACAGTTTTCCATAATGCAACCAAACACTGGAAAGGAAAATGTTTTCCGGAAAATGACTCATTTTCCAGAAAACATTTTCCAGAAGTCATTTTCCTGCTTTCCAAACGGACCCTTATTCCATGTGTTATCCATTAGGTGATAGAACATTAATTGCAAGAACTTAACTCATGAATGATAAT